TAAATTTTCACAAAATGCAAAGAATGAAAGAAAACAAAAGCTCAATAAGTGGTAGGTTGCATCCTATTTCTCCTTCTCTTACACACAAAGCGACTATATTCTTTCCACTTAATAAAGTAAAAAGGCCCAATTTCTTCGAACCCAAAAAGAGAAAACCAACCCAAAAAAAATAAAAAAATCCCATTATTCTTTTTAACTTAGAGCCGGTTTGGTGCACGTTAAAATGAGAGAATACATTTTTTTGAAGTGATATGATGAGGAATATGTGGTTGAAAATGAAGGAAAAATTATTGATGTGATGAAAAATATTATTTTATTGAAAAATGTGTGGTTGAAATTAAGTATAAGAATGAAAATGAAAAAAATAATGTGGGTCAAAAAGGGCTTATAAATAAAATAATTAAGAGGCTGTGTGATATTTCAAAAAGTTGATAAAAATGGATAAGTCCTATGGAATGTGCGGCGAAAAATGGATAAAAGGTGTGAAAAATTAAGCCCATGTTTGGTGCACATTTTGGGAGTAAAAATGCATTTTTACCGTTGATGTGATGAGAAATATGTGGTTGAAAAATAAAGAAAAATTATTGATGTGACGAAAAATATTATTTTATTGAAAAATATGTGGTGGAAAATGAGTAGAAGAATGAGAATGAGAAAAATAATGTGACTCAAACGGGGGCTAATGAACAGATGATTAAAATTGAAATTTGATCAATTTTTTTAATCAATAAAAATTTTATCAAACAAGCACGAGTGGTAGGCACCCAAAAAGAGAAAGGTAGAAATATTTTATTTAAATTTCGATTAGGTAAGGTAGAAAATTAATGCCCTGTTTGAACCACATTATTTTTTTCATTCTTATTTTTCTATTCATTATTAGTCACACATTTTTCAATAAAATAATATTTTATATCACATCAATAATTTTTCCTTCTTTTTCAACAATATATTTCTTATCACATCAACAGTAAAAATGTATTTTTTTTTTTCCAAAAATGTGCACCAAAGGGGCTTAAGAAATGTTTTAATTTTTACATAAAATAGCACCAACTATACAGCCGAAAATTACATGCTTTTCTGTTAAGATACTCCACGTATACAGCGCTCTATTCTCTTCTTAAATAAATAGCAACTACCAACTACTTTTATTATTACTACACTAAATTAGTTACTTTACAATTCCCTTTTACTTAATCATAAATCGACACGTATTAACCGCATAATCCCCCATAATTGTAAACGACAGCGACCTTAATCTACACGCGCCGCTATACGCGTCTTAACAGAATTCTCTTCAAACCCCCAAAACACTTCTTTTCTTGCACAAGCTGTTTATTCCCGTTCCCATTTCCATTTCCATTGGTTTGATCATTCTTCGTTTAATTTTCAGAGAAAAATTGAAACAGTAACCCCCAACTTATTTTTCTTATAAAATTTTGACACACCATCTATTGAAAAGATCAAAATGCTCCTTCATGCATGTTTGACAGGTGATTATAATATGTTTAATATAAGTTATATTAAAATAAATAGTAAATAAAAGGGAAAATTGCAGCCAATGTACCAAACCATTCATTTAGTTGCAGACTTTGCTCAAACCTTTCATTTGTGTCACCTACGATACCAAACCTTTCAAAAATTAACACGTGAGGTCCAAATGGATGTAAACCGTTAATTTGACAATTAGTTGATCAGAGTAATTGATTTTGACCACATATAATTGGGGTAAAATTGTAACTTTATAATTTTATTTTATAATAAATAACAAAATTAAATAAAAAACAAAAATCAAACACAAAACCCACCACCACCATTCTTTTTTCCCCAATACCCTTACACCAAAACCACCATCAGCAGCCGCCAACGCCACCACCACCCACCCCACATCGACGCCACCACTCCTTTCCCCAACACTCCTCTGAATACTGCCAAACAATTACACACTTCAATGGATCTTTCTCTTCTCTAGCATGCTCGTAAGATTAAACCGAATCTTTGTTTCCTCCAACCCTTACACCTAAGAGGTGTCTACAATAATCAACTAAAATGTAAAATTAAACTGAATCTCTTTTTCTTTTTTTTTTTCTCCCCAAAATAAAATTTTAAAAAGTCAACAAATCTTGTGGGGTTTCTAGATTGAATTGTTTCTGAATCCCTTCAGGGTTCTTCTCAAATTGCTTGACGTGGTAGCGAAGTGAGAAAAGTAAGGGTTGGTATTGCAAATCTATTTGCTGCCAAATATGCTAGAGATTTGAAAGCAAATGGAAGAGATGAGAATAAGTACTGGCTTCAGAAACTTGGGAGCGAGTGGCTTTAGAGACGAAAATAGTTACTGCGAGGCTAATCAAGCGGCCTCTAAGAGGTCCGGTGACAGGGAGAGGAAGAGCGATGGTTTTGTTGATTTCAGACGACGATTAAGCTCGAGGTTCACTGATTTTGCGCCTCCATCAACGATGTGAGTTTTGGGTGAAGATGGTACTACCTTTTTTTTTTTAAATTTAATTTCTTATTTATTATACAATAAAATTATAAAGTTACTATTTTACCCCTGTATGTTTGGTCAAAATCAATTACTCTGGTTAATTAGCGGTCAAATTAATGATTTCCATCCATTCGGATTTCATGTGCTAATTTTTGAAAGATTTGATATCGTAGGTGACACAAAAAAGCAAGTCCGAATAAAAGTATTTTCAATTAAACACATTCCAAAAAGGACAGCATGAACAATTTTAAAAAAGATGAAAAACGGTTACATTTCCGCTAGATTTCTATAGTGACAAAATTGTAAAACAAAATCTAGTGTGGCCAAGTTAGACATGTGATGATCGTAATAATAAGATGATTAAATGAAGATTGAACGTTTTCTTTATAAAGACCGTAGGTATAATAAACAATAATAAAATGATGATGATTAACATGTTTTGGATAGATCAATTTGCTACTCATGCAATAAATTAAAAGCATGTTCAGAAATTGTTTATAGCGAGTATAAATAATAATAAATCAAATGATGAATGAGTGAACATCTTGTTGTTATGTGAATAAAAAATTATCTAACCGATATAAACAGCTACCAAATATGCATTAAGAGTAATGTTACACTTCTTCCTAATTTACAAGACGAGACTCATCATACCTTTTCGAAATCTCACGCATGTAATTATATATTTATTTTTGTTAAGAGTGAGATTTCATAATTTTTGAAAAGATCGATGGTATCTCTGTAATTTTCGAATACCTGGTGGGTGTCTGTGATAATATGGATAGAGAGACAAACATAATCCATATTCATCATAAATAAAAATTACAAAAAGATGCATAGCGATTGAATAATTAATTATTTTTAGGGATAATTGCAGTAGCGGTCGTAAGCCTTTTAAAAATTAGTACTTGAGATCCAAATGGATGATTTCTATTAATTTGACCGTTCGTTGATTTAATAAATTAACTTTGACCAATTTTAAAAGGGGTATAATGGTAACTTTGGATTAAAATTAAAAAACCAAAAAATAAAAATAACAAAAAACCAATTCACCGTTCATCTCTTCCTTTCACACCCACACCCACACCCACACTCACATCCATCTCCCACCTCCTAAAACCAAACAAGAAACCCACCACTACAATTCTATCGTTGCTTGCCTCGGCATTCACCTATTGCCATCCATACCACCTCGTGCCAACGGTCACCACCCACCATATCCAAGTCATCATGTCGCGTCGACCATCGTCACCCAACTCCACCAAAGCGCTCACGACTGCCACTCACCTATTCACACATCGAGCCAACAACTGCTACCAACGCCATCGCGTGGCCCTTCTGTATGTCACACTCCATCAATTTTCTCTTGTATTCTCTGTTTTGAACAAACCCACCCTACCCTCCACACAAATCAAAGCCATAAACGCACAAAGGATCATTAAAATTCAAGAATTCTTGAAAATGAGTAGTCAAATCAACATCAGAACTGAGCAAAATGGTAGCATCTGAAACTTGCCACCACCGAATCCACCAGCTCGAACGACCCAAAATGCAGACCACAAAAAATAATTGTCCCCCCTACACCCTATCCTAGGCACCACCACATTACAATGTACCAGCACACCATCGCCACCACGATCAAAATCAAGGAGTTACAAAAAAATCAAGACATAGTTAGTATCTAACAAATTGATCCACTTATTCTTTTCACCGACCCCGACTTTGATTCCTTTATTCTACTTATACTATAGGATTTCTCCCATGTTGCTTGTACCACCATACTAGTGGACCTTGAAAAAATAAAGAACTCTTGGACCTTGTTTATGAATATTTTGAATCAATTGATGGACTTTGGCAGGCACAGTGGGAATGGGTCGGTGAGTGGCGATCGTTGGCAAGGTGGAAGTGTATTGGATTTTTTGTTGATTTGGTTGGGGGTTAGGTGAACTTAAGGGAGGGGTGGGGGGACATAATTTTGTTCCTTTTCCATCTTTTTTTTTTTTCGATTTTTTGTTTAATTATTTAATAAGAAAATTTTAAAATTATCATTATACCCCTTATAAAATTGGTCAAAGTTAATTTATCGGATCAACTAACGGTCAAACTAACAGTAATCATCTATTTGGATCTCAGGTGCTAATTTTTAAAAGATTTGGGACAATGGATAGCACATGGTGAAGATTAAGGTAAAATCTGCAAAAATGTAAAAAGTTTGGGACAGTTACTCCAATTATTCCTTATTTTTCTTTCAATTAATTTATTTATTAGTAGAAATAAAACCGCGTTCAATTTGAATTTTTATTCTGCATTTGCCATTCCACTCAATAATGGCGTTGTATATATACGTGTCGACTCATTGACTGCACATTCTTAGCTTACATTTCCTTCTCCCTGCAACCCTTTCGCCCCTTTTCTACATGATGCATTTTCAATAGAACCCATTCATTTATTGTACACAGACAATATTATAAACATACAGATAACAAGTTTCGATTATTTCAAGAACCATTAGAAAAAAATGGTTCTTTCAAGATTTGATCCAAGATTCAGATTAATCGAGAACGTTGGATTTTTGTTGATTCTTCTATGCTTGCCGTTGATTTGTCTTGGGATTCGTTCATTTCGGAATTCTGAGGTGTCTGAATCGGAATTTAATAGCTTGTTTGGGTTTTCAGAGGCACCGGACTACCGGAACGGCGTCGAATGTTCGTCGACGGCTGAGGGACAGGCTGTGATGTCATGTGACCCGTCGCTGATTCACGTAGCGATGACTCTTGACTCGGAGTATCTACGCGGGTCGGTGGCGGCGGTGCACTCCGTTCTCCTCCATGCGTCGTGTCCGGAGCAGGTATTCTTTCATTTCATCGCCACCGAGTTCGATCCATCCAGCCCGCGCGTCCTGACCGGACTCATTCGATCCATTTTCCCTTCACTCAACTTTAAAGTCTACATATTTCGTGAACACACAGTCATCAATCTAATTTCCTCCTCCATCCGGATTGCCCTGGAGAATCCGTTAAACTACGCCCGGAACTATCTGGGGGACATTCTTGACCCGTGTGTCAACCGGGTCATCTACTTGGATTCAGACCTTGTCCTAGTCGACGACATTCAAAAGCTCTGGAACACCCCCATCTCCGGATCCAAAGTAATCGGAGCCCCGGAATACTGCCACGCCAATTTCACGAAATACTTCACGGACACATTCTGGTCGGACCCGGTGCTCAGCCGGGTATTCGGGTCAAGAAACCCGTGTTATTTCAACACTGGTGTAATGGTAATGGATTTAGAAAAATGGCGAAAAGGGAATTACAGGAAGAAAATTGAGAATTGGATGGAACTGCAGAAAAAGAAACGTATATATGAACTGGGCTCATTGCCTCCATTTTTGCTTGTGTTTGGTGGAAATGTGGAGCCCATTGATCACAGATGGAACCAGCATGGATTAGGAGGGGACAATGTGAAGGGATCCTGTAGAGCCCTGCACCCTGGACCGGTGAGCCTGCTCCACTGGAGTGGTAAAGGGAAGCCATGGGCGAGGCTTGATGAGAATAAACCCTGTCCATTGGATCATCTTTGGAAGCCGTATGATTTGTACAAGCCTTATCAGCAGGGGAAATTGAAGGTACAAACACAGAAGAAGCAGTCATTGGGTTTGAGTTTGTCTAGTGGTGGAAGAAGTACAAAATTAATTGAATTGTCCGGTTATTTCATTTGATTTTTTTGTAAAAAATTCATATTGGATTTTTTGATTGGGTTTGTACAGATTGATTAATTTGGTGTTGGGGGTTCATTCTTTGGTTCATTTCATTTGATGCATGAATGAGTTGGAGTTCCTTTGAGTTGGAACAATTTTGGGATACAACGTTTAGTTGTTCTTTTCAATATTCTTTGTATCGATTAAAAGCATTCCATAAATCGCTCGAAATATTTAGCTTTAGACGAGAAAATTATTGTATTTTGTTCTAGAAATTCGCTCGAAATAGCTTATATGAGAATTCAACAATTATTCCAGTGTACGCAAATTATCATGTTAGCGTTGTGACAAATTATTTCAATTGATTTTTGCTTGCATTTAATCACTAACTTGAAGATTACAGTCAATTAAATATATTGTAAATTTGTTAAGTTATTAAAGTGAAGATTATGTGATCTACAAATATGTTCAATTAATTAATTATCGTGTAAACTTGTAAATTATAATTGATTTGTTGTGAGTTAATTGGCTTAAAAGTTGGGATCCAATCACTTTAGGCACCTTAGAAAGCGAAGATTACGTATTCTAAGGGTTTGAATTTACGTGAAAACGTTGTTGATTCCGAATAGACAATTGACTTACAAATTTGGCAGCCAAACATTACAAAGAAACTTATGATGTAGAAGTTTGAAAATGATAGTCAAGAAATTTTGATGATCAATATAAGAAGATTTTTCATACTTGAATATTAGGGTTTTGACTTTACTTTTGTATACCGCGTTCGCTTGTGAAATGCTTTAGTGGATGGCTGCTCTTTAATGTACATTCATTTTTTACATAATTTTTTACCTACACTCATAATAGGATGTGGGGACCACACATTTGGGAATTTTTTATTTATGCGGGCCCCAATCGCATGTGAGAGGGTGTAACATTTTCAGTACAAAAAATTCTGCACAAATGAAATTGTCCTTTTCTCAATGTACCTAATATGTCTCATAGTGTATAGTCCTTCGTAGCATTGTCGCTGTTGTGCATTTAGTTTCCAACTATATTACGTTATACAATATTTGTATATTTTTGTTAATTATATATTTCTCGAATATGATATAATCGTTAGACTTTTGATTTATCAAAAGAGAAGTTCTAAAAAATCAATTGGATTTTTTTCGTCTTTATTTTTCCTCATAAAGATTAAAATATATTCTTAATCTTTAGCACAATTCATACGATACGTGTGTCAATGTAATCCTACGATGGAAGTGGTTCTAGATTATTCCAAACGATTAATCCATAGTTGGTTCAATTTGGCGATTGTCCATTATGCCATTATCGGTCCATTTTTTTTCTCAATTTCCTTTCGATTTGTAGTCGTTACCCGAATTCGCGCAAGTGGTTCGAGATTGGTCCAAATAATTAATCCATAACTTTGATATATCGTCTATCGTATCATGACCGATCCATCTTTCTTCAATTCATTCATTGCAAGTAAATGATCAACAGTCAACTCCTAAGTCTTGTACATAAAGTGGTTTACACGTTTAATCAGACACAAACAATTACTTTTATTGAGAAATTAAAAAAAAAAAAGATATTTTGTCAAACATCATGATTACGTATTTTAGGCTTTAAATTAGGCAAGTGGGCAGTTTACTATGGTATTGCATTGGGAGAACTTTGATTCGAATTCCTCATTTGGCGTTTCATCACATGGATTTGTATTAAAAAACATATAGTACAGTAATAATTCAGAGAATCAGATTCGGATTACGATAATAAATTAGTTGGAAATATGAAAACTTGCATTGGAAATATGAAGCGGTGGTAATTGTGGACAACATAAATATTCATGAATTTGTCTGGAAGAAACAAAAAAGTCCAATACAGTTATTGAAATTGGCAGCATTTGCTTGCCAATTTTTAATTGTAAAATAATTAAATCCATGAACTAGATATACGAGTTGGCGATTTGGATTGGTTTTGGTGATTGAACAATGTGGTTGAGGCTATTTTATCAAACTGTTTATAATGATTTAGATTGAAAATACAGCAATAACCATTTAAATCTAAACGTTTGCACCATAGTGAAAGAAATCAACATCATTGAACGAGATACATTTCGTATTCTTTCACGTCCAAAGACAAATAATTTATTGTAGTCGACGATAGAAATCTATCCACTTATTGTGGTGAAAACGTCTATTGGCAGTAAGCTCGGCGAACAAAGACTTATTAGCAACCATGAAATTCATTCAGTCGTCAATACGATTGTGTACAACTTGAATTAGACTTAAGTTCAAACCAATCAACCCAACCCGAGCTTGGCTTTCAATCGTGAATATGTTGGTTTCGATTTGAGTTATTGTCAAATCGAACATATTGGGTTGAGTTTGGGTTGGACTCAAAACCAATCCGCCCAACCCTAGTTGGATCTACAACTTTTCAACCACATATTTCATCAACTTCTATCAAAATCTATTAAAAAATTGATTTTAATCCCCACTAAACATGGGCTAAATGAAATTTTTTCAAAAAATAACAAGAAATTACTTATAATTTGGCAACTCTTCTATTAAATTAGAATTATATCGAACATAATTTTGATTTTTGGAATCTAATCTGCAGTAATTATGTTAAACACACACAAGTTGATGTCACTAGTCACTGATATTGCAATTTTAAGTTTGAACTTTTGTTCACTCTTCACAACCTCTAATGTAATAAAGAAAATGTTGATTTTTGTGTACGCTTAGAATCGAACAGTATAAATGATGAAATTCATCACGTCTCTCTTCTTTGTCAACTATATTTAAGAATCCAAGTTGACATGGACAAAATATTATATCAAATGTGAAACTTGGCATATAATCATATGCGCAAATCTATTTGTCTATTCAATGCAAATCGCCCTACCAAACCCTAACCAAACTTTATTTCTCAGAGATAAATAAATCCATAAAGAACAAGAAAAATTATCAGCATTCTCAAAGTAACGTTTTGTAATAAAGTTATCCTCCAAGGTTCCTCCTAATCATCATGGCATCTTGGCCATTTACCTTAAATCCCTTCTTCAAAATTTCATTAGGCATCGGTGGCTTCAATGTGAATGTGGCCACAGTCAAAATTTGAGCATCCAGTTCTGACAACATAGCCCTGACATTTTCGATGTTGGATTAACTATGTCGATATTGCACAGAAAATGTATCAAGCCTTTTGAGAAGACAAAGCAATCACCGGGACGTATACAGACGATTACTTGTGTCTACAAAGCCAACTAGAAGTGAACCCTTGTGAGAATGGGGTGGAAAATGCCACCTCGTACCAACTGAAGTGTCAAGAACCACAACTTCAATTAACTCCTTGACCCAATCGCAGCCGCAGTTTGCCCAACTTCGATCGCATATTGTAAATATTTTATTTCAATTGTAAAATAGCTATGATATTGGAAAACGTTTAGTATGATTTCTCGGCATTTAAACGTCTACTCCTATCACTTGGATTTTTGTTCAGAATGCTGTTATAGGGAGTATTAGTTTTTCAAATAATCTTTCAAGCTTTCTGGTGTTTGTCCCCTACACCAGTCATTGTAATTTTTTGCTTTCATCAATTGTAATTTCTAACTTTCAAGCAATCAATGATCAATTTACTTTAAATGCATTTCAATTTCATGTTGCAAACTTTCTACGAATTGTAATCAAATCGTCTTTCGTCCCAAAATGACCAAAAGAAGGTGGAAGGTAGTCTAGCGAAGCAGACTACTGCCGCACGGTGTCCTTTTCTGTGCTGAAGAAAGACACCTCGTGAAAGTTGGTATTAGAGCTACGGTGATGAGTGCTCGACACTCACGATATTTATACCACTTAATTGGTTATTTTGTTACTCTTGAGAGAGTTTTAGATTGTTTTTATGTGTATTTTGATGTTGTGATGTAGATTGATGAAAATGAAGAAAATAAGTAAAAGTTGACAAATTTGGAGAAATGAGCTAAATTGCAAGATATCCAAAGTTCGGGGACTAAAGTGCAAATACTCAAAAGTTGTACCGAACTTCATGAATGAATATTTGAGAGTGTTAATGGNCCGAGAAAGAGGAAAATTGGAAATTTTAAAAGATTTTCGGCCCGGTCCAACCCTATTCCATCTTACAACTTGTGGACTCCATAAATACCACCAAAAAGACCTAATTTTAGAGGTTGGAAGAAGGAGAGAAATATACAAAAAAATTGAATCTCCAAGGACAACAACAAGAAGAAATTGAAAAAATCAAGTGAATAAAGGGTGGAAATCATAAAAGGGATTTCGATTAGCACTTCAAAAGAGTTATTTCTTACATTCTCTTTTATATTTTCCATTATAAATTGTATGGATTTCATGTTCTATTTAATGAGTTAGAACATTTAGTTAGGGTTTGATGTAGCCAACTTGAGATTATGGTTTGATGAATACATGAATTATTTCTTTTGGAATTTTTCACTTGTATTTAATTGTGTTATGATTATAATGATTTCAATTACTTGATCAATAATTGAATGAATAGATGCTAGTCAATTAAGGCACTGGAGATAGGAGAATTTAGGCGTGATCATAAGATTGACACAACGTAGGTTTTATGGGTTTCGAGATAAAGTGTAAAATCTATGAAGCTTACCCTACAAAAGAATCGAGGTTTTGGTAAATTTTAGGCTTTAATTCGGAATAGAGATATTGAGATTGAATTCTCAGATTAATTTCTAACCGTCACTCGAGAGAGGTGAGAGAAATACAATTGGATTCTTGCTTTTAAATATGAGAAAATTAATTGCAATAATTTGATGTCATTGAATCATAATTGAAAGTTGGTGAAATCATTCCTTAAGCTTCCTCATTTTGATAATTTATATTTTCTAATTTTGTCGTAGCATTTTACCTTTGACTAGTTAAAAAAAAAAAAAAATCATTCAACCATTCATTTGTCTAGATAAAATAGAAGTTATAAAATTATAGTATTTGGTAGAAATTAAATTACAATTCCTGTGGGTTCGACATCCTAACTTTTATATTATATTACAAAACTTGACACCGTACGCTTGCGGTATAATTCACGTTATAGAAAACGCGTGGCAAGTTTTTGGCGCCATTGTCGGGAATTGTTTTATTTGATTTTTACTAATATTATTACCAATTAGCTTTTATTTTAATTTAGATTTTTTATTTTATTTATTTTATTTGTATCTTTGACAGTTCTTGGTTTGTTAATTTCAGCTGTGAATGCGAAGAGCAAGAAATTTGGAATTATTTCCTATTGATCTTGAACCATAACGTACATTCCACTTTCTAAGGGGTAAACAGAGGGACGAGCGTGAAGCAATGGCAGAACAGGTTAAAGGAGCAGCAATTGAAAATAATCAACAACGGGCTATTCGGGACTATGTCAGACCAGTGGTTAATGACAACTATTCTGGTATTGCACGCCCAACTATTGCTGAAAATAATTTCGAGCTGAAATCGGGATTGATACACATGGTACAACAGAACCAGTTTGGAGGAGCTCCGACAGAGGAGCCAAATGCTCATCTTGGTTCCTTTCTCGAAATCTGTAATACCGTCAAAATGAATGGTGTTAC